GGTTACAAATTCTTCACAGTGCAGGGGCTGAGCAGCCTGATTGGGTGCAATTCATTCAAATCTGTCTTCATTAAAATTCAAATGGAATAAGTAAGCTAGAAATTGAACAGACCCTAAAATTGTGCCTTGCTGCTCTTGTAGTCAGTAAACATTTATTCACTCAGCACAGTTCATGAGTTCTCTCTTTCTCCTCCTCACTTATAGCTGTTCCTCTTATCTTTCCTACTTGCTGTTTCATTTCATAATTAAGAAGGTCAGAATTAATGAAGCAGTGAGTAATAAAGTTCAAGGAATCCCCAGGCACTATTTATTCCATTAGGTCTCAGGCATGAATCCCAGATTGGCAGCATACGCCACATCAACAGTGACGCTCACTACATCCCAGGAACTACCCACCGAGGGAGACTCACCTGCACTGTCAAGTCATTCCAAAGCTCTTTTCCTGCGAAAATCACACGCAGCTGGTCAGCTGGAACCCCCTGTCGCTTAGCAACCACTTCTTTGAGCTGTAAGATGCTGGTGTCAGAATTGACCTCCACTGGGAAACCATGGCTGGAGTTGAAACGGACAAACACTAATCAAGAAAACAGAAAGGGAAAAAAAAAATTACTCAAATCCTTTATATGGCAAATGGAATATGTCTGAACAAATTTAGCCCTCATCTGCCCTTCAATGAATTGCGTATATTTTCTTTCATTTTAACTGAACAGTTAAGAGTAAAGCAATATTGGAAGAAAAAAAAAAAAATACAAGTTTCCCCAGGAGATTTCCCTTTCATATATTAGTCAGTGACCGACAAACTAAAATTCCATTCTCGCTTTGACATCCATTCTGGGAAATGAAAGGACTCAAGCAGAACACTTGCTTGACTGGAATAGTGAGATTTCCATGGGTTTATCAGAGATTCAGCTCTGACAGCCTGAACCAACTCTCAGTTCCTTCAGAGTGACCCTGAATGAAAATAAAAGACAGTATGCTAGAAAGCACGAAGGCAGGGAGAAAATTCAAGCCACTCTATGCCCTAGAGGGAAGAACCAAGTGGAGCCATGACTAGGACTCTGGGCTTTGGAGGTTCTAGTCAAAAGTCTCTCCTGGGGCTGGGGAGATAGCTCTGAAGTATGAGCACCTGCCTGGCAATCTGGAGGTAAAACCGGACATGGTAGTACATGCCTGTAATTCTAGGGCTGGAGAGGCTGAGACCAGTGGATCACTAAGAGTCTGAGCTGCATAGTGAAACCTTGTATCAGATAAATAAAATAAGCAACAAACAAATAAAATAAAAACTCTCTGCTGGTTCTATGGAGAAAATTTGTGTTTTATTTTAAAATTAATGACTTTTCAGGGCATGGTAACATACATCCATAACCTCAGCACTCAAGAAGCTAAGGCAGGAGGATCATTGAGAGTTCTAGACCAGCCTGAGCTACAAAGTGAAGTTAAGGACAGCCTGAACTGTATAGTGATATCTTATGGCAAAACAAGCAAAAAAATTCATGACTTTATTTCTTTTATTGGAACCACATGTTCTTATGAAATACAGGATAGAACCTACAGTGAGCAGTACAAAATGTGGCTAAAAAAAGGAAAAAAAAAAAAAACCCAAGAAACAAACAAAACCAAAGCTCCAGGAACACACTAAGACCAAAGAACAGGAACAATAGAGATAAGACATATCAAATGATAGTTACCACAAGAAGTGACATAGAAGACAATGCATGTGCAAAAGCTCAATATATTCCACCAACACAGAAAATATTTTTAAAAAGTGAAGACGAAGTGATAAAAGAATCTCAAAAGAAAAAATTCATGACAAAATACCCAATACAGAGAAAGGGCTACTTTTGAATTATTTTTAAGTAGATTTCTTTACATAACTTTCTTTTCTTTCTTTCTTTCTTTTTTTTTTTTTTTCCTGTGGAACCAGGGATTGGACTCAGGCTCTTGCGCTTGCCAGGGAAGCACTTATTCCACTGAGCCACCTCCCCGGCCCCTCACAACTTTCAAAGTGAAGAGGAAAAAATAAAAATATATTGGGAACCTTGACACATTTCATGGCATCCTGAGATCAAAGATATTAAGACAGTAGTTCATCAAGTGAGGCACATGACAAGCAGGGGCCTACAAAGGATAAACACTAAACTAAGCTCTAAGCCAGTTTTTCTATCACTGTAAAGAGATGGTTAGAAAAGCAAACTCCATACCGGGGAATGCCAGTGAAAACAGCTGAAACTATAGAAAAGCTATTACAAAAATGGATAAAAGTCTAGGAGTTCTCAAGCTAATTTTTCCAAGGGGGTACAATCACGGGAACTCTATTGCAAATCTAAAAGGTATTTTTTAAATTAAGGAAAACAAATCACAAAAAACATGCCAGGTAATCTTACGTAAATGCTGTAATGATCAGTACCCTAAAGTTTTTGTTTTTGTTGTTCTTATGAACAGACAAACTGAAGATTTAAAGTTAGGTTTGATTTAGGTAATTCATATAAAACAACACAGATGAATATTTTTGAATAGTAAGTCTGAGCATTAATGTAAATATATGATGGAAAGATTATTCAAACATATAGAAGGTATTTGGTCAACTAAAATTTTACATGAATATTAAATATTGTAAGCAAGTGACCTGGTCATTAATCGAAGGACATCTGAAAAATAACTAGTATATTTACAGCAGGATCTCAATCTTATCTGACAAGTGTGAGAAATGTGTCATGTTCCACTTGTTTAGCTCCTTAACTCCAGTCGTGATTCCTTACATAGGAGAGGAAACAAGCAATCAACCCCTTCCAACTGTCTTTACAGCAAAGAAAGAAATTTGAATGCTGGTTATACCATTTTCTAATTTTAAAATTTAGGACAAATCATCAGGTTTCCTTGACTCTTGCCTTCCTTAGCTGTTAAATGAAGCTAATGCATGGAACCTCGAATGCCTATAATGTGACATTTATTGAGATAACGGATATGTTAGAAAATTTCAGAAACAATCTTTAGTGCCAAGCCTATTCTCCTGGTACAGGACAAGCCTGTGCTCCAAAAACAGTTACCAAATTTTAAACTACCCTGGGGAGAGAGAACTAATTAAAGCAGCATTCATTGTTTGCATGATAAACAGATTAGAAGGGATGCAAGAAAATAGCACAGTAGATATATTTTCTGGTATCTAGTTCTCTTGATCATGGACACAGAACTTCTAAGGACAGAAGTATGACAGAAAATTTGGCTCTTCATTTTTGTGGTTTAGCTAATCTTCATTTGTTGAGCTGACATGGTGGCACATATTTATAACACTAGTATTCTAGGAGAGCATAGCAGAAAGATCAAAAATTCAAGCCCATCCTGGGCAACTCAGTGACTTAGTGGTATCTTGATTCAAAAAAGAAAAAGGGCCAGCTTGGTATGCAGGCCTTAGGTTCAATTCCCAGTACTGTGAAAAAAAATCAAGTTTGCATTTTTTTAGTACCATTTACTATAGTATCAGAAGTAAAAGCCATTATCAATAAATATCATCAATGTTTCTTATTTATAAACATTATAATACACTGACATGAAAAAAGATTAGGAGACACATGGACCCTCATTTATGTCATTAACGAAGCTTTGGAAGTCTAAGTAAAATAAGGAAGTAATCGAGAGGAAAGAAAGAAAAGGATCACTGGTTGACTGTGCTTATATTTCTGTCAATGTCATTTTGTGCATTCTCACCAAGGTATGACTTTTTTAAGTCATTAGGATAGAAGTTTAGTTTCATTCATAAATGATTATGTTCCTTATATAATCCTGGATGTTTCCATGCAGGCCATTTTACTTTTTGCATTAAGAGAACCCATCCAATTTAGGTGGAACTGGCTCACCATTCCCAGGTTTCTAATTAATCAGTATGATCCCATATACCTTGTCACTGGCTCAATGATTGGCTAATAGGCATAAACTCATCAGCGTTGCCATTCCTTCTTCTAGCCTGAGTGACTAATTCTTTGAAATAAAGGTTCTATATGGTAGACCAATCACACTAAAGTTCAGGACAGGAAAAGATTTGTTGAAGTAGTACTTTCAAATGCCATGAAATAGCCTAGACATTTTTCCTAACAATAAAAGTAAAACTCAAGAAAGACCATTCATATCATTGTATATGTCAGCTTTCTCCTCAAGAGAGCATGCCTTAGACTAGATAGGATATTTAGTTCCACACACAACCCAGTATCATAAATACTCCCTAGAAACAGTGGCAACCAAAAAAGAAGCCCAAGTATTTCCAAATGTCCCTTAGTGATGACATTTCTTCATTACCTTAGAGGATTATCCGTTAGTAGTCTCTTGACAAAACAAACAAATAAAAACACAATGTCCTTACTTCCTCTCTCACTGTATTTCTCCATTTTCTTTTCTTTAGCAGTTCAGGCTGGCCTTGAACCACTATGTAGCCCAGGCTGCTCTCAAACTCACAAGGATCTGATGTTTCTGCCTCCTAATTGCTGAGATTACATGAATGCACCAGCACACCTGGTTTGCCCTATTTTCTGTATGGAAAAACTTGAGAATTCCTTATTAATTAGTTCTACAGGCTGGGGAGATAGCTCGGCAGTCTAAGCACCTGTCTGGCAAGTGCAAAGACCCGAGTTTGATCTCTGCTACCACATGCCATGCTGGTTCCACACCAAGCTGGCCACTGAAACAGGTCTTGACAGTGCATGCCTGTAATCCCAGCTCTGGGGAGGCTGAGACAGGAGGATAACTATGAGTCTGAGCTGCATAGCAAGACCTGTACCAAATAAATATGAATAAGTGACAAATAAATAAATTGTCTGTATTTTTTTTTTTTATTTTTACACTGGTAAAACTACATAACGCTCAGTAAAAAGTGGGATACTACATCTCTAACCCCACTAAAACTTTTCTCTTTTTATGATGTTTCAGGAATATTAAATAACATAGGTCTAGTTATTATACTAATTACTTTCCCTTGGCAACCTCCATCCTTTTAGTTATACCCAAGTAAACAGGACAGACTTGTAGCATCATCTTCTGAAGTCTCCTTTGTTAGACATTCAGATGACAGAGAAACAGAATATTCTTGCAGTTAGTGGAAGGACAGGACAGAAAAATCAAGTAATAAAAACTATAAATATTCATGAATTTTAGAGAAACACAGAACTGTTTCTCTCTGTCTCTCTCTCTAACTTCATGGCAGTAATATAATACAGTGGCATTAGCGCCCATAACTTGATTGCCAGACTTGCAACCTCCGTGGAACTCAGAATACCTGCATTAACTAGCAATTGAGATATTTCACATGGACATCCATGGATAGTCCACAGGGATTACCAAAGTCACTACCAAAACCCATCATGGTTTCTGTTTTCAGAGGGAAATTCTTGTCTTATTCTGAATCAAGTCCTTTCTGGTCAGAACTGCCAGTATCTCCCAGTCAACTTGTACCACTGTTCCACACAGCTACCTTCCTCTGGCAACATGCTCATACCGCTCTTCCCACACATCGCCTTTATCCCCACCACGGGGTCTTGCCTTAAATGGCCAAATCACACGGAACAGATTCAGCACTCAGTAAGCAAA